GATAGGACCCGGCCGCCTGGCCCTACAAGAGCGCAAGGGCGGCAGCGCGCTCCCATATCTCCCCCTGAAACCTCCAACCCAAGTGGAAAGAAACTGTGTTTGGAGACCAACCCCAGGTCCCCTTTCCAACTAGACCGCCGGCCCGAAGCCGCTCATTTCTCTCACTGGGAGGGGGTCCCGGGTGCAAGCGGCCGCAGATCCGCTCCCCAAATTGTCCGGGGGGTTAGGCGGGGTGGCCCTGGGGACCTCAGCCAGGAGCGCACCTGGAGGCCCCCGCCATCCACCCCGCCTGGCTGGGCTGCCTCCAGCACCCCCTCCCCTCCCAGCATCGCGCTGCCTCCCTCGCACTTGCCCTGGCTGCGCCCGGGAGCTGGGGGCCTGCGGGCCCATCAGAGGCAGGAGGGCTGCCACCCCAGGGGAGGCCTGGGGACAGGGGTCCCCGCGCTGCTCAGGGCCCTGCCACCAAGGCGGCGCTCGGCAGGGCATCGGGGTGATGACTTCCTTCGCTCTGGTCGCCTGTTTTTCTGGGAGCAAAGTGCCTCCTTCCCAGGGTTCCCTGAGCCCCGCAGCGCTCCTGCCCCTGCTCCTGGGCTATTTAAGGGGCTGGCAGCTCCCCCTGAGCATCCTCTGGACGGAGCACAAATACGCCAGAGCAAGTGTTTTCAGTCAAACCAATTCCTCCCCTTGGCCCCCTCACCTCGCCTCCAAGCCTACTCATCTGGTTCTTTGGAAGAGAACCCCGCGTTTTTGTCCAATTGCGATGTTTCCCTTAAGCACTATCACAGTCCTCCCTCGCTGGAGGCCACACAGGCTGCGGGGCGCTGTGCCTGCCAGGAGGGGAGTCCAGCTATGGAGGAGCGAGCTCCGGGCGAGGGAAAAAGGCCCAAGACAGCAGGCACAACCCAAAGGAATCACACTTCTGAACCCAGCTTCACAACAGGCAAGAAAGGGCATAAGGCCTCCGCCAGCGGCTGTTCCCTTAGGACTCAAGGCCACAGGGCCTCTGCTCGCCTGCCTTTACAGCTGGGGTGCCACCATCTTTCCTGCTCCCATAGTGAGGTCTCAGTCTAGCAGGTTCTGTCCAATTATCTCCCCCTACACTGAGTTTCACCGGAAACCCTGGTTTGCAGACCACGACAAGCTTGCCCACTGCAATCCAGGTCGCACATGGCATTCCCCTCAAGGTTGGCTCATCCTTGGGCCAAACCCACCAATGTATTTGTCAGAAGCCCAGGACAGAGCCAGCCTGCACAGGGGCACCTGCCAGGGCCACCCGTTCACACCATCTGGATTCTGCCTTTCGCAAGTCAGCCTGAGCCTCCCGCTAATGAGAGAGAAGGGACCGTCTCATTCATATTCCCACCGGCAAATGCACCACCACCACCACCACCTCTGGGGGACCTCCAGGCCGGGAACACAGCACAGACCTGCAAGCGCTGGACCGGCGTGGCTCAGTGGCTGAGCATCAACCTAGGAACCGGCAGGTCAGGGTTCGATTCCTGGTCAGGGCACATGCCTGGGTTGCAGACTCTATCCTCAGTGTAGGGCGTGCAGGAGCAGCCAATCAATGATTCTCTCTCATCATTGATGTTTCTCTCTCACTCCCTCTCCCTTCCTCTCCAAAACAAAACCCTCCAAGCAGCCCCTTTCAGCCCTGCCCTGGCGCAAGACTGAACCTTTGGCAACTAGACTTCCGGTCTCTACACCCCAGTTTCCTCATCTGTAAGGGGCTGGCTGATCATACAATTTGGGCGGGGCACGGGGATACCGGGCCACGGGAACTCCGCAGCATT